CTCAGTTCGTTTCTTCCCTTTTCCTAAATCATGTTTATCCTGTAGTTTCACCAGAGCTATCTGATAGCTAATCTGGGCTCTATTTGTCTGGGCTACGGCATCCACTTATTTAGGTAATGACCTAGATGTGGTTGTGTGGGCGTGTCAATTGTCAACTTAATGAGAACTAGCATTGTCTGGGAGACAGGCCTCTAAGCAACCCTGGGGGGTTATTTTGAGTAGGTTAATTAAACCAGGATGAACTGTCTACAGTGGGTGACACCATTCCCTGGGATGGGACCCGGGTTGTATAAAAACCTCTTTTGGATTTTGCAGCCATCTGCACTCACACGCAGACACAAATACACACACAATTCAAAGTAAATAAATATTAAAAACCGAAGGAGAAACGAACTGAGCACGGAATTTATTGTATCCTAAAGTTGCTGGGCCACTGTATAAAGGTGTTTGGCTTTGGCACAGCTCCTCCTCTTCTGCTGTCTCTGTCTTGTCCCGAGACAGTTTTGCTCTGCAAGGTCATTGGAAGGTTTTGTTTGTTTTTAAATCTTGGCCAGTTCCCACTGGAATGAAATATTCTGTAACTCATGGACTTATGTAATATCACGGGGAAAAGTCTTTTCAAAGGTTTCTTTAAAATCTTGGCAGCAGAGCCGGGCGGTGGTGGCGCACGCCTTTAATCCCAGCACTCGGGAGCCAGAGGCAGGTGGATCTCTGTGAGTTCGAGGCCAGCCTGGTCTACAGAGCGAGTTCCAGGACAGCTTCCAAAGCCACAGAGAAACCCTGTCTCGAAAAACCAAAAAAAAAAAAAATCTTGGCAGCAGGAAAGTCTGTCAAGAAGGCGGGGAGACCCCAGGGCGTCAGCTGAGGGCCCTGGCAGAAGCAGCAGAGGTCTGGTCGCAGTCGTGGAAAAGGCAGGAGCCCCTGGACCCTTCATATGTCAGTGGGAGTAGACGAAACCCCTCACCGGGTCTACCTCACCACGCAGAGACAACAGATCCAGTAAAGGGCTGGCGTCACAAGCAGCCATGGGCTGCCTGGTGTGGTCCTGGCAGCTGAACTCCCTTGGTGAGAGCAGTGTGTGGTCTTTTTAAAACAATGACTTATTTTATGTGGACGAGTGCTTTGCCTGTAAGTTCATGTTCACCATGTGCGTGCAGTGCCTCAGGAGGTCAGAGAGAGCGTCAGGTCCCCCTGGAACTGGAGTCACAGGTGATTGTGAGCCACCATTTGGGTGCTGGAACCAAACCAGAGTCCTCTGCAAGAGCGACACGAGTTTTAACCGCAGAGCCATCTGACCAGCACTTTTCCAAGGTGTTTGTTTTGTGAGACAAGGTCTGACTATGTAGCCTTAGCTAGCCTGGAACTTGCTCTGTAGACCAGGCTGGCCTTGAACTCATAGAGATCCGCCTGCCTCTGCCTCCCTAGTGTTGGGATTAAAGGTGCATGCCACCAACCCAGAGCTTTCTCAGACTTTTGAGAATTTTTAGGTCATTTACTTCTAATTTTTCTTGTTATAATAAAAATGTATTTTCTTTTAAAGTCATTCCACTTGCATTATTGATGATGGTGTAGGTGTACATGTATGTGCACGTATGCACTAGTACATGTACTGCGCATGATTCAGTGCCTGCGAAGAGGTCAGAGGACAACTTTCAGTAGGAGCCAGGAATCAAACTCTTGATCAGGCTTGGTCAGCTAGTGCTGTTACCCACTGAGCCATCTTGGGAGCGCAAGTGAATGTATTTGAAGGGATACAATTCTTTCAAAAACACAGATTTAGCCACATCCTATAAAATTTAACATGTAAAATTTTATTGTACATAGTGCTGGGCCTCATAAGGACATTTTTATGTAAGTAGTGCGCTAGATAGTTTTTTTTTTTTTTTTTTTTTTGGTTTTTCGAGACAGGGTTTCTCTGTAGCTTTGGAGGCTGTCCTGGAACTCGCTCTGTAGACCAGGCTGGCCTCGAACTCACAGAGATCCGCCTGCCTCTGCCTCCCGAGTGCTGGGATTAAAGGCGTGCGCCACCAACGCCCGGCTTGTGCTAGATAGTTTTGTGCCAACTTGACGCAGCTAAAGCCATCTTGAGAGGGTGGCTTAAGAAAACGACTCCATAAGATCAGGCTGTAGGCGAGTCTGTAGTAGTTTTCTTGGTTAGTGATTGACGGGGGAGGGCCCAGCCCATTGTGGGTGATCCCATCCCTGGGCTGCTGGCCCTGGGTTCTATAAGAAAGCAGGCTGAGCAGCCACGAGGAGCAAGCCTGTAAGCAGCATCCTTCATGGCCTATGCATCAGCTCCTGCCTCCAGGTTCCTGCCCTGTGTGGGTTCCCGTCCTGACTTCCTTGGATGATGAACAGTGATGGGCAAGTGTAAGCCAGATAAACCCATTCCTCTCCAGGTTGCTTTGGTCCTTGGGTTTCTTTACAGCAATAGTCACCCTAACCAAGACAAGCATAAAATGTGCTTTGATCACATTGCCCCTTCCATTGCCTCCTTCCTGTAGACATGGCTTCACTTCCTGTCCACAGCCTGTGCTTCCCTGGACCTGCAACTTTTTTCCCCCTTTGGAGACAGGATCTCACAGTCAATTCCGGATCTGCCTTGAACTCACAGAGACCTGCCTGCTCTGCCCCTCTAGCGCTGCGACTGGTCACAGGTAGCATTTTCAGTATGTAACATTTGTTACCAGACAGTTCCCAATGGGGTTATTTCATTTGTGGTTTTGTCTTAAATGCCTGTTTACCAGTATTTGTTAGTTTCCAAAGCACCAGGATTTGAAGTGTCATTTTGTTGCCATGTTCTAATTTTCTTTCAGGGTTGTTACAGAACACAGTTTGCAGGCATCTGGCTCTCTGAAATTAACTAGGGATTGCTTTAGTACCCTTGTAAACCACTCAGTTCCTGTCCCACATGGTTTTAAAAGTTGAATACAGCTTTTGGTATTTGGGGTGGAGATTTAAATACAGAATTTTATTAGTCTTCCGCCTGGTTTTCTTTCTTCGCTTTTACTGCCTGGTGACTCAGAGCCAACTGTGTCCTGTTGATGGCTTTTGACAAATATGTGTCTTGTTAAATTAGCCCTTTGAGAACTCCAAAAAGTCCCAACTGGTAACATTTTTTGATTTCCACAGTATAGGCATTCCCACTGCAGCTAACATTAAGTTGCCGGTGGTTAACAATTGCCTCTCAAAATTATCCAGTGTTTTACATGGATCTGCCAACCAGTGCAAGCCAGTTATATGGTGTTTGTTGATTTTGCAGGATGCATGTGTGCCCTGAGGTCAGAGGACAACTCCAAGAAGTTGGCATTCTCCTTTGACTTGGCTAGTTAGGTTTGGTGACAAGCGCCTTTACCTACTGAGTCATTGGTCTGGCCATATTATTTCTTAACATTTATGCAGTTTATTTATTTATTTATTGTTTGGTTGGTTGCTTTTAGAGACAGGGCTTTTCTATGTAACAGTCCTAGCTGTCCTGGAGCTTGCTCTGTAGACCAGGCTGGCCTTGAACTCACAAAGATCCGCCTACTTCTGCCTCCTGAGTGCTGGGACTAAAGGCATACACCACTACTACCCAGATATATAGGTTTAAGCCTTGGCTTTCTTTCTTTTTCTTACTCCATTTTCCCTTTGTCTCAGTTGCTTTTTAAACTGTCTGCCTCTGGTAGATGTTTCAAACTCTTGGAATGAAGAGTGAAATGAGACAGTTATTTGATCGCCGGAAACAAAGGGAAACCTTCCAGTTTGAGCAGGTTTACATTTCAGTTTGTGTGCTGCCTCAGGCGTGTGACAGGCTTGAGGGCTCAAGGCCAACTGAGCTTGGAGAGTCCCCGTACTGCTCTTCTTGCAGTCCCTTCTCGGTTCCTCTCCTAGGGAGACCTCCCTCCTGCCTGCCACTGAGCAACAGTGCAGTGCGGCTGATCTCAGGGCAGGCTTGGGAGTTCTGACTCTGCTCACACTTTCAGTTCCTGCTTTCTGAATCCTACCCAGAGTTCTCAGTGGCCGTCATTCGAGAGAGAGGTTCTTAAACTTCCATCTCAGTTTCAAAATAAATTAAACAGCAAGGCTAGAAGCAACTCCGGGCGTTGTGATTTTAGACACCCCACCACAGGCACCTCATCCAGCCGTGCGGGACCATTCAGAGTACCTTGATTCTGTATGCTCAGCCTTCCATCTTACTGGAGAGTCAGTTTAGTATGATTGCTCATTTAGTTGTCTATTAGCAAAACAGCACTGAGCACTGGAGATGCAAACGGCCTCAGGGCCACGGGGGCGGGGGGGGACGGGGGACGACGACTTCATTTGACCGCAGCAGGATGAAGGGGATGGTTGCACTGCCTCAGGATACGAAAAGAAGCGGGGACTGGCAGCTGTGTTTAACATGGTTTCTGGGGGACCTGTGACAGCTGCCTGTCAAAGGACAATGGTTCTGTAACCTCATCTGTGAGCCCCAGAGTGAAATCTTATCGCCCTTTTCTGAGCGTTACCTCTGAGCTGCACCCAGAGGTCATGTGGAAACTTTTATGGCTTGCATTATTTGAAAAATAGATTTATCTTGTATGCATGTGGAGGCCAGAGGTCAATAGCAGGTGATTTCCTTAGTCACTGTCCGCCTTACTTTTTGAGACAGGGTCTCACCTAGCCTGGAACTTGATTTGGCTGGCCATTGAGTCCCACGGGTCTGTTTCTGCCTCCCCAGCAATGAAGTCCCAGGCAGGTGCCGCCGTGTGAGTGCTGGGAATCCGGTCCCAAGTTTTTGGGCACATCCAGTCCTTTACTTACTGAGCCATCTCCCCAGAACCTGGTCTGCAATATTAAAAAAAACCACTCAGTGGCTAAGTGCCTGGCTACTCTTGCAGAGGACCCAGGTTCAGTTCCCAGCACCCATATGGCGGCTCACAATGAAACTCCAATTCCAGGGTTTCCAATACCCTTCTTCTGGCCTCTGCAGGGGATCTACACACATTCATGAAGAAAAAAGTCAACACACACACATGCAATAAAAGTAAATAAATCTTTAAAAATTAAAAAAAAACATTTGGTACATAGTAACCTCTCATATATGAGGCCTTTTCTCCTGGTGTCTGACACCCCCTTTCTCTGGGGAAGATGTTTTAGCTTGCGGATAGAGGATGATAGGATGATAAGGTATGAAATTTAACAGAAGCATCACAGCTTCCATTTCAATTCTCAACTCCAACTGTATTGAAGTTCATCAAGTTGCGAAGGCTTTGGGTCTGTTTAATTTCGGTGTTGGGTGCTTTCATTTATTTGCAATTTATTTTTATTTGCAAGTGTTTTTTTAATAATAAAATTTATTTTAAAAAAAGGATGAAACGTGTACGCTGATATCTGGCTTGGAAAGAAGTTCCCCTCCCCTACACTGCTTCTTTCTGACGTCCATTCCAGACACAGCACCGGTTCTGTGACGGGGAGTCCGGGGACAAGTCACTCGTCATAGAACTTCGGCAGCTCATCTCCCAGGATTACTCGATGGTCCACGCCAGCGGCTGTGATGGTGACCAGGTAGATGACACCCCCGCTAGAGCCATCGCGGTTCATGGCCAGAGCGATGGCTGCAGAGGGTTTGCGTTGGAGAGAGGAGCAGGAAACGGCTTAGCTTTAACACCCTTCCCTTTACTTTCCAATCATGTGCCGCCTCTCCCTCAAAACTCATCATACAGAAGAGGCATCTGTGGAAATGTCCCGTAAACAGCATCGGCCCGTGTCCCTACTGTGAATGTCCCCACTGTGCTCTCTGCTTCAGGTGACCTACAGATTAACCCGTTGTCCAAATCCTTGAATGTTGAGCAATCAAGTTCCTGTGAGGTGGCTTGGAGCACGGGGCAGCGCTAGCCCAGCACATTGCTGGTGATTTTTTTTGTTTTGTTTTGTTTTTCGAGACAGGGTTTCTCTGTGGCTTTGGAGGCTGTTCTGGAACTAGCTCTTGTAGACCAGGCTGGCCTCGAACTCACAGAGATCCACCTGCCTCTGCCTCCCTAGTGCTGGGATTAAAGGCGTGTGCCACCAACGCCCAGCTTGCTGGTGATCTTATACCCTTATTTGATTTGCTCAAAGCAATTCAGTTCATCCCTACTGCCCCAGAACTCCGTCTCTTTTAGCATTGTCTTGTTCTCTTTCATCTAAAACATTTCCCGGGTTTGCAGGGTGAGCCTGGGGAGATGGCTCAATGGCTAAGAGCAACTATTGTTCTTACAGAGGACCCGAGCTCGGTTCCCAGTACCCACGTCAGGTGGCTCATAGCCGCCTACAACTCCCGTTCCAGGGGATCCTCTTCTGGCCTCCACAGACACGTGCACAAACCCACACACAGACATACTCACAGACACACTCACGCACATGCACATACATAATCAGGTGAATACTGTTTAAAAGCTTGGACATGGGATGGTCACCCACGTATGCATTCTTTGGTTCTTCATAATCTAGTTTCTTTCTGTGTCCACGATCCCTCCCCGGCCACCCCTCCCTCGGCCAGTTACCATTTGTGGTGAAGCGCCTGCACTCCTCAGGGGTCATGCCTGCTTTATATGCTGAGTCCACATAACCGTAAATGTAGGTGCTGCCAGAACCACCGATGGCAAAGGGCTGTCGGATCAGCATTCCTCCCATGGTTCCGTACACCTAGAGAGAGGTTCCGCAGGTCGGAGTCAAGGCTCACCCCACAAGTTCCACCACGGAGACGGGCAAACGTGAAGACCCGGGACCCCCACAACTGAGCCTGCAGTGTGCATCTTATTATTTATTTATTTATTTATTTATTTATTTATTTATTTATTTATGTATGTTTTGAAACAGGGTCTCACTGTGTAGCCCTGGCTGTCCTGGAACTCTGTCTATATCGGGTTCTTCAAACTCACAGAGGTCCACGTGCCCCTGGCTCCCGAGTGCCGGGGCTGAAGGCGTGTGTGTCACCACACCCGGCCTGTAGTGTGCTTTTTTAGAGGAACCGTCTTCGGATCACATTTCCAGAATGACATGAGACTTCCATGTCTCTCAAGAGGGAAGTGGGGAGCCCTGGACCAGGAAGGGACACACTTACCTGGCCCCCCTCACGTTGGTCCCAACCAGCCACCATGAGGTGCGCTGACAAGTCCTCTCGGTACTTGTAGGTGATATTCCTTATCACATTTGCAGCGGCCAGAACAAGGGGCGGCTCTTCCAGTTCCAACCTGGGGGGGGGGATGTGGGGAGCGAGGGTCAGCACCCTGCTCTGAGTCCCATCCTTGGGCTGGCATCGCCCTCTCTGCCAATCACGCTCGAACCAGCAGCTGCCGCAGACTCCAGCTTCTCTCCTGCATGCCCAGGGGAGCTGGGGGTCCCACGTCACCCTCTTTTTCTCGGCTCCACCTTCCCGCTCCTGTTGATAAGCCCCTCCTTGGACTCTAAGGGCCCTGCCCTCCTGGGTAAAAGCAGATAAGCCTTGCTTCCGCCCCAATGACCTTGGTGTCTCATATGGCAGCTGCCTGATATTAGGAGTGGGCCAAATCACTGTCTTCTTCCTGATTTCCTGTATCAGGGCAGTGATGCGCGCTTTCCAAGTCTCCACGGGGGAGACGGGTCACTACTGTGACTTCCTCTCGGCAAAAGCCCCCAGACGTTCCCATGCAAGTTCAAAGCTGGCAAAGCCACACCGCTGAGGAGTTCTACTGGGAGGGGAGTCAGGACCCCGGGGGCTTTGTACCCGTGCAGCTCCAGCTGGTAGGCGGCCATGTCGGCTACGGCTTGGGCATCGGCAGCGGAACCGGAGAGGGCGCAGTAGATCCTCTGGTGCAGAGGAGAAAGCTTGTCAAACACTCGGTTCACCACCGCTTCTCTGTCGGGAAGGAGCCAAACATTCAAGTTGGTCTGACAAGGGAGCAGCGAGGCTTGCGACGCTTGGGTTACAGCAGAAAAAGCAGAAAGATGTTGCCTCAGCTAAGTAATTCACCCGTGCTAACCACGGTCAGGCGTGCTGGGCTGGGGATGTGGCCCAGGTGGCATAGTCCCTACCTGGCAGGCACAAAGCCCAGCAGGGCACACAGCACGGTGGCACTCAGACAGTGCAGGCAGGAGGGTTGGGCGTTCAAGGCCAGTTTAGCTACATAGCAAGTTTGAGGCCAACCTGGGCTACAGGAGACTCTATCTATCTTAGACACTACACTCCCTGAGTTTAGACTTTTAAAGACTTATATTTTATAGCAAAACAACAAAAAGAACACCTAGTTAAGAAAAAAAAATGTGCCTCTGAGCCAGGTTGTGGCGATGCACACCTGTAGTCCCAGCACTCAGGAGGCAGAGGCGGGCAGCCTGGGCTACAGAATGAGTTCCAGGACAGCCAGGGCTACACAGGGAAACCGTCTCAAAAAGAAAGTGTAATAAAAGAAGAAAACCCTGCTTCTTCCTGGCTTTCCTTGGCTGCTAATCACCTGGAGGGGCTGTGGAAGTTCTACAGAACATGGCAAAAGCAGCAGTGAGGTCATCCTACGGCCTCACTGCGTGGGAAGAAAACAGCCAGGAGGGAAGACCAAGCAGATGGGCTTCAAAGTGTGCTGCAAATGAGACACCTGCCTGACAAAACCATTTTTATCCTAAGTGCAGACAGCCGAGTCTGCAGCCTACCCCACGCCCCTCTGAGACACGAATCTGTACGTCTACAAAAAAATTCAGACCTGCAGACCCTTTTGCCCATGAACTGGGAGGTCCAAACACCTACCCAGCATTGCATTATGATTGCTTGCTGGAAAGCTCAGATCCACTTCCTGGATGGCTACCATGCTGTGCAAAATGTACACTTGGGGCCCACTGGTGTCCTTCCCAACACACGGCGGCGGCTCTTTAAGGATACTCACCCTGCGGACACCCGGGAATCAGAGCCCACCACGACACCCCCATCAAACTCCACCGCCATGATGGTTGTCTGCAGAGAGACACAGAGCAGGGGAGTTGTCAGAGCAAGAAGCTCCCTGGCCCTTCATCTTAAGGAAGATGAAACGCTGGTGGTGGCGGTGCCAGGTGACTGACTCAAGGTCACGCAGTCCTTCAGGCCTGAGCGTCCCTGCGTTCTGGGCTGTTGTATCCGGCTGTGGGAGACCGGCACAGCTTGGCTGTGGTACAGCGTAGGGAGTCATCTCCCGAAGCCCCAGCTTCCCTGGGCAAAGAGAAGCAGGGATGGGTTCCTAGAGGCAGAAGCAATCTGTCTGAGAGGGTGACCAGGACAGGGGAAGTAGGCCCAGAGATCGGACTGTCTACACTACTTAGGTGAATCACTGAGACACGAGGCCGGGTCTATCTTGGTCCGAATCGCCCACCTGCACCCTTACTCAGGGGCAGGTTCTCAGGGCTGCTGAGCAAGGGAGACAGGAGAGGCCAGCGGCTAAGGCAGCCGGCAGCCCAGGGAAGGGTGAAGCAGCCAGGATGGTTCAGAGACAGCAGAAGTCTCACCTAGGGGACTTCTCCACAGGAGGGAAGGAGCTGCAGGAGAGCAGCTGGCCAAGAAGGGAATTAAGGGTAGGCGATGAGGATGAAGACACGTCTACTTCCTCCGCATCCCCTGAGCTAAAAGGCACCTTAGAGACCCGTGGCTGCACCGAGAAAACCGAGCTCACGCAGGTCTCACTCTGAACCCTTGACCGATCAGACTTCTACCTCCCGCAGTTAGGGGGAGCTTTTCCCAACCTTTCAGGCCACTTCACACTTCACTCTGATGTCCGGGGACCCTGCACCGGAGTCTGCTTTCTGACGCACTGACCACAAATGAAAAGGCCAGAAGTGGCCACTCCGTTCTAACAACTGCTCTCCCAAACCACGCTAGGAGTGTGGTCGGGGACTTTCAGAGAGCAGAAAGCAGCTTCCATCTCCTCCCCAGCTCCTAGGCCGGGGCAAAGTTCTCCTGCAAGCATGGGAGCAGGAGGGGGGAACGGGCCGCACCTGGGCCAAGGAGGACCACTGGTCACCCCCTGCGCGCGGCCCCCATCCCCAGAGAGCTTGTCCTCTCTCAGGGTGGAGGTTGTCCCGGGCCAGGTTAAGCAAAGAGCTGTTTGGTGTATAGTTGCTTCTCAACGAGCCTTCATACAGCCTTCACCCAGGTGCTTCATTCAGGACTCTTTCTTAGCACCTATTCGCAGGGTCCCCAACCCCCGCCCCCCTTAATTTAACCCCACTGCGCAGACCAGAGTGAAAGCGAAAGCGCTTTGTAGCAACTTCCCTTAGATGCTTCCAGCTCCAGCCAAAGTACGCACCTTCCCACCAGCTTCGCGTGCGGGTCCCTCCACAGATCCCCCCCGGACACCACACTTCTGGGCGGGAGGGGGTGGGTGTACCCTTCGTTCACTGTGGAGCGCAAACGCCGGGCGCCACCGGTTTCCTAAGCCTCGGTCTCCTGGTTCACTTCCCAAGCGCTTGAGGGCTCTCTGGTCACCCCAACCCGCTGTCTCTCACCCCCAGACCCATTACCCCGGTGTGGACTTCTCCCGTCCGGAACAAGCCGGCGGTAGGTGCTCCTGCCCGCAGCATCCTAACAGAGCCTGAGCTCGGCTTTCCAATCGGCGGCCGCGCGCGGCGCTCTCAGCTTGCAGCCCGATGCCCCGCCCCATCGCCGCGCAAGGGGCGGGCAGTTCTACCGGGCGCTTGGCGCCCTGAGCCAACCTGATCAGGGCGAATCTGCCCAGAGACAAGTGACGACCCAGGGTCCCGCCCTGAAGCTGGGGTGGGGCCTGCTGGTGGGAAAATTCTTGCGAGCATGGGAAGAAGGCTGGAAAGCCACGGGAGAATGGAGTGACGGAGTAAAACATGGGACGCCAGGGCTGCTGGCTAGAGCTTCAGTTCTGACTTCGGGGGGCAGCTTCCAGGCCAGCCCGGGCAGGCCAGCCTGGGCACGCGTGTCCTAGAAGGGGGCGTGTCTAGCGATTAGGGCCGCCGCTTTCGGTTTCTCCTTCCCCTAAACGCCTGCACTTCTGGCCAGCGCCACCAGCTCTGGCCAGCGCCTGGGACTTTCCGCGCACACCTCCGGGCCCGCCCTTCTTCTCTCCCACGGAGACTCCTGGGCAGCGGGGACGCCGAAAGTCCCAGGCGGAGAGAACAGACCCTGGACAGCGCGCTCCATGGCTGCGCTCGCCTGGCTAGCGGCCGCGCTGCTGCCGCTGGCCGACTGGCTGCTGCTGCGGCCCGGGCTCCCGGGATTCTTTTCCCTGCTGGTTCCCGGGGTGCCGCTGCTCCGGATCTGGGCGGTGGGCTTGAGCCGCTGGGCCATTTTGGGGCTGGGGGTCCGCGGGATCCTCGGGGTCACCACGGGAGCCCACGGATGGGTGGCCGCTTTGCAGCCGCTGACGGCGGCGCTGGGTTTAGCCCAGCCGGGACTTGCCTCGTTCCGAGAGCTGGCCTCCTGGGGAGCACTCCGGGAGCGCGACAACGCTGAAGAGCTGCACTGGGGCAGCCGCCTCGACGCGTTCGTTCTCAGTTATGTAGCAGCACTGCCCGCAGCCGCCCTATGGCACAAGTTGGGGAGCCTCTGGGCGCCCAGCGACCGCAGGGGCGCTGGAGACATGGTGCATCGGCTGCTAGGCTTCCTGGGTTCGGAGAAGCGGCGCCTCCACCTGGTTCTGGTTATCTTGATCCTCTCCTGTCTCGGTAAGGGGGACTCAGGGCGAAAGGGCAGCCACAGGGGACAGCAGGAATCCAGTAACGGCAGAAAGGAAGATTAAAGTGGTCCCGGGAACTGTCAGATGACGTAGGCGGAAAGGGAAGGCAAGGCCCCTGGCCTGAGTGGGAGCTCTTACCAGGGTGCTGAGGACAGGGTCTTCCTGGGAGTAGAACTTTGCACCACACACAGTTCTAGTGTGACGGTTTCTCTCTACATTGCCATCTTTTCTCCCCACCCCTCACCCCCACTTTGAGACGGGGTCTTTCTATGTAGTTCTGCTAGAACTCACTGTGTAGCCCAGGCTGGCCTCAAACTCACAGAGAGACCAGCCTGCCTCTGCCTCGAAGTCCTGGGATTAAAGGCATGTGCCGCAAGCCCTGCTAATCTGCTTTTTACATTAAAAACATTTCATTTGTTTATTTATTTACTTACTTATTTGGGTTTTTCAAGACAGGGTCTCTCTGTGTGGCTTTGGAGCCTGTACTGGAACTCGTTCTGTATGCCAAGCTGACCTCAAACTCACAGACACCCGCCTGCCTCTGCCTCCGGAGTGCTGGGCTTAAAGGAGCGCAAGACCCCTCCCCCCCCATCTTTCTTAATTAGTCCTTGAAAAGTTTGATGTCCCTGAATAAGCTTGGGTCAGCGAGCTCAGCTCCTGCTTTCTGGACAGTGGTGAAGGGTGAGAAGCATGAGGAGATCACAACTGGTGTGTTCGTAACCCTCGCAGCTGAGATAACCCCCTCTCTCCTAGGGGAAATGGCCATTCCTTTCTTCACGGGCCGCATCACTGACTGGATTCTTCAGGACAAGACAGCTTCTAGCTTCATTCGAAACATCTGGCTCATGTCCATTCTCACCCTAGCCAGGTGTGGTGGATGGGAACGGGGACCCCGGGAGGGGAGGGGAGAGGCCGGAATGCTGGGACTCTGTCCCAGGAAGGAGCACGCCTAATCCTCCATCCATCTCTCCAACTCTCTAGTACAGCGCTGGAGTTTGCTGGCGATGGCATCTACAACACCACCATGGGCCACATGCACAGCCGTGCGCATGGAGAGGTGTTTCGGGCTGTCCTTCACCAGGAGACAGGGTTTTTCCTGCAGAACCAAGCAGGTGTCTCACAAAGCCTTTTCATTGTATAATATATATATATATATATATATCCATATACGCCCTCAACTGCACCCCCCCATAAACATGTACACACATGCTGCCTAGATCAACCCCCAGCACCATATAAACGGGGTGCGGCAATCCCAGCACTTGGGCGATAGAGGCAGGGGATAGAGGTTGAAGTTCAAAGTCATTCATCCACACAGCCAATCTGAGGCTAGCCTAGGCTACACCAGAGCCTGTCTTAAAACCCGGGGCTTCCTGTATGTCCAGCAAAAGCTCTACCAGCTTTGCAAACCCCCCTCCCCCAAGCCTCCCTATTCATGGCACATGACATTGTCCTCTTTACTAAGAAAAATAGTGTTTGCATTCAAAACTCCCCACGGATGGAAACCTCAGCTGTGATGTCCCACTGCCTCGTTTGAAAAACAGATGCGCATAGGCAGTGACCATGGGTGACACCAGGGTCTCCATTTTCCTGGCAGCAACCTCCCTTCTCTCTATGTCTACTGGATGACCAGTGTCAGGACACAGCACAAATATACATGGTCTTTGAGAAGTCAAGAAAGCATTCAGGGAACTAGAAATCCACCGTGTAGCCCTGGCTGGCCTGGAATTCACTGTGTAGAGCAGGCTGGCCTTCCCTGCCTCTACCCCCCACCCCCAGAGTGTTGAGATTCAAGGTGTGTGCCGCCACACCCAGCTACATCAACTTCGTTATAGGCCGACACACGTCTGCCGGAATGTTCCTTTCCCTGTCCCTGCACCGAAGCTCCCACACCCACCCAAGCTCCTACCCCTGCTAGCTGCAGCCTCCTCGGGACGCCGCGCTGACATGTGCCCACCGTGGTCCCCTGTCATCCCTTAGCTCCCCCTCGTCTCTGTGAACTCACTGTCTCTCCTGTCCTCAACGTGGCAGGTTCCATCACGTCTCGGGTGACTGAGGACACATCCAAGGTCTGTGAGTCTATTAGTGACAAGCTGAACCTGCTGATGTGGTACCTGGGGAGAGGCCTGTGTCTCCTGGCGTTCATGTTTTGGGGGTCAGTGTCCCTCACTCTGGTCACCCTGGCCGCCCTGCCCCTGCTTTTCCTCCTGCCTCAGAAGCTGGGGAAGGTGTACAAGGTACGTCCTCAGGGGTCGACTGTATTCGGTGAGACTTTCCACTGCTTCCCCGTCATCCCGAGCCCCTGCCCCTGCTGCCCCCCCTGCCCCCCCCTGCCCTGCATCCACAGCCATGTTCTCAGCCTTCTCGTCTAACTTCCCGCCACAGTCTGCCCTTGTGAATCAGACCCCAGGCTGGAGAGGCAGTTCAGGGCTAAGGGTGCCGGCTGCTCCTCCAGAGGACCCGGGTTTGGTCCCCCCAACACCCACACCAGGCAGTTCACAACGTAGTCTGATGCCCTCTTCTGGTCTTCGTGGACACTTATATACACATGATGCACGCACAGATGTAAAAACAAAGACGCTGAATTAGCTTCCTCCTCCCATCTTCTACCTAGAAGCATGGCTGCAGACCTTCCTCTGTCCCTCTGGCTCTTGACTTTAATTCTCCAGGCAGGTAGCCTAGGTACTGGCATTCTTTCTCACTTGCACACCCGCGTGACGTCTCCGGGCCCTCGTCTCCCCCCACAGTCGCTGGAAGCGAGGGTGCAGGAGTCTCTAGCGGAGTCCACGCAGGTGGCCATTGAGGCCCTGTCGGCGATGCCTACGGTGCGGAGTTTTGCCAACGAGGAGGGAGAGGCCCAGAAGTTTAGGCAGAAGCTGGAGGAAATGAAGGCGCTCAGCAAGAAGGAGGCCTTGGCCTACGTCGTCGAAGTCTGGACCACGAGCGTGAGTGCTCCCATTCCTCTGTCCCATCACATCGTCTTCGTCTTACTGTTTCCCAACCCTGCTTCTGTCCCTCCTCCAGGGGGGCGGAGCGGCTTGGGGTGTCCAGTCACTCGCTCTCTGTCCTTAGTTCCCTCCCTGTCTGGTGGTGCTGGGAAGCAGCCTTCCACAGGGGCAAGCAGTCTGCTCGGCCTGTGGCGCTAGCGAGACACCACTCTCCCAGCTCCGGGTCGTTCCTTTGCCCCTCGGAAATCCACCCACTCCTGCGCTTCACTGTGTGTGGGCTTCACGCCGGCACCGTGTGGGCGAGCTCGTGGGAGCCAGGAGAAGGGGCCAGAGGCCGGTGGCCGGGGGCATCTGTGATAATGACGGAACTAGAAGCGAGCGACTAGAGGTTCCCGGCTCCATCCTGCCATCAACCAGCTCTGTCTGTCACCACGCACGCACGCACGCATGCAAAGACGCACGCACGAATGCACGCACGCACGCACGGACGCACACATTAACCTTTTTTTCTCAGGCTGTTTCCCTGTTTTGGAAAGGGGGAGTAAAAGCTGATGTGGTGGTTCACACCTGTAATCCCAGTACTCAGACTGAGGCAGGAGGATTGCTGTGAGTTCCCAGACATCTCGGGGCTATGATGTGGGGGTGTAGGTCTATGAGATGGCTCAGGAGGTAAGGATGCCTGCCGCCAGACTTGATGACCCCGAGCTCCATCTCTGGAGCCCACGTGACAGAAGGAGATAATTGACCCCTGAAAGTTGTCCTCTGACCCCCACAAGGTGCACCATAGCACCCACTCACATATAAACAAGCAAATAAATGTGGGTTTTAACCATAGCAGCCACTTATATATAAACAAATAAATAAATGTAGGTTTTAAAAAGTAAGTAAAAACAAGCAAAACAGCAACAAGAAAGGACTAATAAACTGTGTTCACTCTCTCCCCTGGGGTGGGGGAACTTCTTTACAGAGGCTTCTGATGTGAGAATTATCTGATGGCTCAGGCATTAA